AGATTTTTTTAAACACTATGCCTATTTTAAACACCCTTCACCACAGCATAGCAACCTTTAACCTCCAGCGGTCAGTGTGAATGAGGACAGCCCAGTATTTAGTCCAGCAAACAGGCCTTCAAGTAATTAGCATCTTTAATGGTTGACTTTGACTAAATAGCAAAAACTGTTTAGTACTGCTTAGGACCCTGTCCTTTTGTGTTTCCTGATCTCTTTATCTGCGTGGATGAGCCATGATGCTCAGTTTCACACATCCTTTCTGGGCCTTATGTAAGACAACGGTCGTATGATCTCTCTCTCTTCAACTCAGTTCCTTCATCTTTCCATCCTTCCATTCCAACAAATAAACAGGCCACTGGCCCACTTTACATTATGGCCTGACATAGTCCCCATTTTCTATGACTGCATTATATAAGCGCTCTGTCACAGAGGCCAGAGAACAAAGGACCCGACTTATCTCGTTTCAGAGGGGAATTCCACCCCAACGAGATATTCTTCTTTTTCTGTCTCTAATGGGGTCCATCGATACGCACAGCTTCTGAGCTGCTTGACCAGGTTTCCAGTCAGACTAATTTTGCTAATCTGTATTTAGTATTGTATCATACATACAGTGCTGTGAAAAGGTTTTTGCCCCCTTCCAGTTTTTTTTTATTTTTTGCATATTTGTCACACTTAAAAATTCAGATCATCAAACAAATTTTAATATTACACAAAGATAATGCAAGTAAATACAAAATGCAGTTTTTAAATGATGATTTCATTTATTAAGGGAAAAAAGCCTGAATGGCTCAAGAAAAACTAAATTAAGGTTTTGGAGTGACCAAGTCAAAGTCCGGACTTAAATCAGATTGAGATGCTTAAACGGTCCATTTATGCTCGAAAACCCTCCAATGTGGCTGAATTAAAACAATTCTGCAAAGAAGAGTGGGACAAAATTCCTCCACAGCGATGTGAAAGACTCATTGCCAGTTATCGCAAACACTTGATTGCAGTTGTTGCTGCAAAGCGTGGCACAACCAGTTATTAGATTTAGGGGGCAATTACTTTTTCACGTAGGGCCAGGCAGGTTTGGACAGCTTTTTTCCCTTAATAAAAGAAATCATCATTTAAAAACTGCATTTTGTATTTACTTGCATTATCTTTGTGTAATATTAAAATTTGTTTGATGATCTGAATCTTTTAAGTGTGACAAATATGCAAAAAATTAAAAAAACAGGAAGGGGGCAAAAACCTTTTCACAGCACTGTAAATGATCATACACAAGGTTTGGGATATTCTAAGTTGTTAATAGTGAAGCCTAGCAGTTAGCACACATGCTACAGACATGTAGCACTAGCAGTGACAGGAAATGATGAGCACATGTGCTAAACGCTAGGCCATGGCCCTGACAATGTGGCTTCCATTAGGAAGTTGACCCGAAAACATTTTTTCTTGTTGTGTATGTACTTTTTTTTTTATTCACAGAAGCATTTTAGTACCAAAGTAACGGTATGCTAACTTAAAAAGCAAAGCATATGGTACTGTATGAAAAAATCTTTCAGAAAATGTGAACCCAGCTAATGTCTACTGAATATCTTGCACTACTTATGCTTGACCAAACCCTTTATATCAAGTATACACTTAGAAAAAATACTGTGGTAGTACTGTGAAAATACCATGATACATGTACCTTATCTTTCTACCTGTACCTTATTATTTCACAGAAGGATGCTTAATAATTGTTTGGTAACACTTTAGTATAGGGACCAATTTTCACTATTAACTAGTTGTTTATTAGAATGACTATTATTAACATTTTGGCTGGTTATTAGTACTTATCAAGCATATATTCTGCATGATCATTTTTACATCCCTAATCCTACCCAAACTTAACTACCTACTAACTATTAATAAGCAGCAAATTAGGAGTTTTTTGAGGCAAAAGACGTAGTTCATGATTTATTAAAGGGGTCATATGATGTTGCTAAAAATAACATTATTTTGTGTATTTGGTGTAATGAAATGTGTTTATGCGGTTTAAGGTTCAAAAAACACATTATTTTCCACATACTGTACATTATTGTTTCTCCTCTATGCCCCGCCTTTCTGAAACGCGTCGATTTTTACAAAGCTCATCGGTCTGAAAAGCGAGGTGTGGTGTGATTGGCCAGCTATCCAGTGCGTTGTGATTGGCCGAATACCTCAAGCGTGTGACGGAAATGTTACGCCCCTTAACATACTGTGATGTAGAACGAGCCGTTTTAGGTAGGTGTGGTTTTATAAAGAATATCTCTTTGGATTTGATACTTCAGTCTTTGCAACTTTACAGATCTTCTTTATGCACCAAGAGCTTGTAACACTTCAAAGAGAAAGGAAAATTTAATTTGCATCATATGACCCCTTTAATAGCAATAATTGGACCTTAAAATAAAGTGTGACCGATTGTTTCTTCTTAATGTTCAGATAAGCCACACAGATCCATTTTTTCTGCCCCTTTGTCGTTGCTATTATTCACTCTTATTTTGATCCTAGTACATATCTTCTGTATTCTGAGGTGCCATAATGGAAGACGTTGCTGCTATTTTGTGAGCAAGAAGATAATGTGGGAAAAACAAGTCTCCTAGAGACAGAGTAGTTTGTGTAAGGAAGGTTTGCATTGCTTTGCCGTGTATTGTTGTGGAGGTGTTAGCCGCCAGCTCTCACGCCCCACGTCTGAATAGACCAAGACAGAGGAGGTAAAGGGTGCATTCAGCCCAGGAACTCATTTTGTCCTTTCAGGGGCCACTCTCAGATTAACAGTACAGGCTTCCATCATGAGATGAGGGGGAGAGAAAAGCCACATCACTGAAGACTAGCACACAAAAAGGGATTTCAATCAGCGTGGCACTCAGGCTGGCTTTATGGGCTGACAGGAGTAAATAAGACCGCGCCTTAAGCAGGGCCCCTGCGCTGACACTCGCATTTACACGTTTGTAGGAACGATATATACACATACACACACACAGATAAACAAACATACACACACTCCTACCTGTAGGCTCCGAGCACAGAAAAATGGCATTATAAACACACATACCACACTGTTTTTGTGTCTAAAGTACGCGCCCACGGTTGTACACTACCAGCCGAAAGTTTGGACTCACTCCACTGAATTTGTTTGTCATGATCTTAAAAATCTTTTGTAATAATAATGTTTATAAAAAGGCTAGTAATTCGTTTTGTAGCTAATTTAAATTGTATGTATGTATATAATATTAACATCTCTGTATATAAGATTTAAGATTTTTAGTAAGATTAGATAGTAAGATTTTTAATGTTTTTAAAGAAGTCTCTTATGCTCATTAATGCTGCATTTATTTGATCAGTAATTCAATAAAAGCAGTAATATTGTGAAATATTATCACAATTTAAAACAACAGTTTTCTATTTGAATGTACTGTAAAGTAGAATTTATTTCTGTGATACAACACTGAATTGTAATCAGCCATTACTACAGTCTTCAGTGTCACATGATCCTTCAGAAATCATGTTAATATTTATTATCTATCTAGCTGCTTAAAATTTTTTCAATATTTTTTATATATATTTTTCAATATTTTTTCAAAATAGAAATCTTATTTTATTTTATTTTATATATATATATATATATATATATATATATATAAAAAGCCCAGTGAACCACCCCTTTAAAAAAATCTTACCAACCTCAAACTTTTGTGTGTGTGTGTGTGTGTGTGTGTGTGTGTGTATATATATATTTCTTTTTTGAAGAAATATTCCAAAATAATGATTATTTCCATTATATAAAAATAATGGAAATAATCATTCTTTTTGGAAATAATGATTAATGATTATTTCCAAATTTTAAATAGTATTTTTTTAACTAAATAATAATTAATGTGGAAATAATCATTATACAGAAAGACACTGTACACCTACTGTATGTTTATTTTTATATGCATTATCATTCATTGTCACACCTGCCCATCATACAAACACACGCAGTCACAGTGTTGAGATTTATCTCGAATCCCGCTGTCTATTGTCTTATTCTGGGTCTGACCTCATCTAAACGTGTTGTACAGACATCTCCACAATCCTCTGAGTGTAAACCCTCCCTCCCCCTCAAGTATAGCACCAGGGTGGTCCGACACATCTCAGCGATCGGAGAACTACTGGCCCTGATTCGCAAGCATCACGGTTACGTGACTGACCTAAAAGAGCTCCATGTATGTTCATCTATGGTTTAGCCATCAAACATGTTCTATTTCCCCTTCGCAGAGGACTTCACGCTGCACGCTAAACTTGGATGATGACATCCAAGTTTTCTCGGCGGATTATACACGGCAGCGTGCAAGATTAGAAACTTACAATGAGGCTCAACTCATGTAATGAAAGATCCCAATGCTCTCTCAGACTATACAACCATGTCTCTCCAGCACGTCCCTGCAGTGTTCCAGCGAACACATATACAACCGCGTCTCCTAAATCTCATCTGGTTTGATCTGTAGCAATGGGACAGTGGTCTAAATCTCCCAAAACTACTCACAAATGACATAGTTTACCAATCTAGTTCTAAGAAGGATGATATAAGACTTAGCACTGGGTTTGTTGAGGAGAATCAGAGCTTGCCAAAAGTTCTGATAAAGCTGAGAGAATCCTCTCCATTCTGCATGCTTACACTCATAAACTCCAGATGTGACATTTTAAGTACCGTACAATTTACAGATGCAATGATAAGTTCTGTGAAGGGGATTAAGAGTGTTTCAAGTTGTTTATGGACAGAAAAGTCTACACAATGTCCATCTTGAGGTCCAGGTCTACACAATGTCCATCTTTTGGTTTAAATAAAGCAAAATTATAGTTTCAAGGCAGAACACTCAGTTTGGCAGAACAAAGTTTAATACTTTTGTTTCACCATCACACAATCTCTTCAAGCGGTGAAATGCTTCAGCAGTTGAGAGGGCTGGAGAGCCTGAGTGGAGTTTCTAACTTATTCTTTTCGTGTGTGTTTTGTTTAGGTAGAGGCAGACACAAGGACAAAACTCTTTCACCACAAGGAGCCTCGACTGACTGGTATGTAATACAGTAGGTGCATCTGCAAAAGGCCTTTACAAACTTTCCCAATGCTTTCATTATTCATGTCATTATTATAGTATCCTCATGGCCCGTTCTTTCCTTTTATGGCCAAAGAAATGCAGTAATGTCTGGCGTCTTGTGATTTTGTGCTGATGTGAGGATGTACAGGGCCCCAAATTTATTTGGGCACATAGCAGATGGCCGTAACCACCATTGTTAAGAATAGTAAGCTTTCCCATTCCTAAAAATGTACAGTAGGTACTGTATTCACCTTTCAGGCCCAGATCTTTGATCTATTGCACTATTAAAATACGTATTACATTAGTAATTATTTGTTACCCCGGACTAATCTTAGTGAGAGTTCCTGAATATTTCATATTTACATTGCCCTCAACTAAGGATTTTTCTGGTCGACTAGTAGTCGTTCATTTGAAGCATTAGTCGACTAATCACACGTTTATTAATAAACTGTTTAAATCATTATAATGAGCCTTTAATTGCCTACATAGCCCTAAGTGCTCAAGCACACGCATAAAGCTTGCCACAGCGCACCGGCAGAAGTAATGTGTCAGTGAAAAACAGTGAGGAGACTACATTAACATGTTAATAATTTGCTAAACTAGTGCTTTCTTTGTTCTCTGTTTAAGAGATGAACTCGGCGACACTGACTGATCATCTCTGCAGTAGTGATGCACCTTGTTTCATACGGATTACATAATCTGAGAATATTTGTTTTCTATTTGAATTGGTTAATTTGAAAGTAGACACTCTATAGATATATTTTTAATGTCTGTAAGACAAAGATATAGCTACACGGAGTTTCGTGATCAAGTTCACAGACCGAGACGGCAGAAACCACATCCTGTTTGCTTTCATTATTTTACAAAAGTGCAATGTTTTGTTGTTATAGTGAGTGCACACACATAAACGTAGAGTCTTTACAGATTTGAAAGATTTATTACTCTTATCTGAATTAGTGCTCGACCGATATATCGCCAAGGCTGATATATTGGCCGATATTTGGCATTTTTCAAATATCGGCATCAGCCGATAAGTTTTTCTGTTTGGCCGATGCGTTTGTGGCGGGACTTTTATTTTGACGGCGCTGAGAACGGCAGTGTCTGAACACACAGTACTCACATTCTCCCTCTTGTTCGCTGTCGTCGTTAACAGTTCTGTCCATGGACAGAAGTCTGTCTAATAATCAGATAGAACTGTTAAACAAAGGAATTAAAATGTATACAAAAAAGTATTATAAGATGTACAGGGCCCCAAATTTATTTGGGCACATAGCAGATGGCCGTAACCACCATTGTTAAGAATAGTAAGCTTTCCCATTCCTAAAAATGTACAGTAGGTACTGTATTCACCTTTCAGGCCCAGATCTTTGATCTATTGCACTATTAAAATACGTATTACATTAGTAATTATTTGTTACCCCGGACTAATCTTAGTGAGAGTTCCTGAATATTTCATATTTACATTGCCCTCAACTAAGGATTTTTCTGGTCGACTAGTAGTCGTTCATTTGAAGCATTAGTCGACTAATCACACGTTTATTAATAAACTGTTTAAATCATTATAATGAGCCTTTAATTGCCTACATAGCCCTAAGTGCTCAAGCACACGCATAAAGCTTGCCACAGCGCACCGGCAGAAGTAATGTGTCAGTGAAAAACAGTGAGGAGACTACATTAACATGTTAATAATTTGCTAAACTAGTGCTTTCTTTGTTCTCTGTTTAAGAGATGAACTCGGCGACACTGACTGATCATCTCTGCAGTAGTGATGCACCTTGTTTCATACGGATTACATAATCTGAGAATATTTGTTTTCTATTTGAATTGGTTAATTTGAAAGTAGACACTCTATAGATATATTTTTAATGTCTGTAAGACAAAGATATAGCTACACGGAGTTTCGTGATCAAGTTCACAGACCGAGACGGCAGAAACCACATCCTGTTTGCTTTCATTATTTTACAAAAGTGCAATGTTTTGTTGTTATAGTGAGTGCACACACATAAACGTAGAGTCTTTACAGATTTGAAAGATTTATTACTCTTATCTGAATTAGTGCTCGACCGATATATCGCCAAGGCTGATATATTGGCCGATATTTGGCATTTTTCAAATATCGGCATCAGCCGATAAGTTTTTCTGTTTGGCCGATGCGTTTGTGGCGGGACTTTTATTTTGATGGCGCACCGGACTTTTATTATCGCTGAGAACGGCAGCGCCTGAACTAGGGCTGGGCAAAAAAATAGGTTTTTTGATTAATCGTTTTTTTAAATGACGTTGATTCGATATCGATTCTCAAAAGCCGCAAATCAATCTTTTCCGGGATTTATATCAGCACACATTTAAAATAAGATCTGATTAACGTGAATCTTATCATTAGTCTTCTCCACTAGATGTCACCCTTATTTACCTTGCGCGATGTTACAACAGAAAGCCTGTCATTCATTCATAATATTTGCTGCTTTGGTGTACCTTGTAGAGCGTCCTTGAGCTTGGGAAAGGCGCTATATAAATTAAATATATTATTATTATTATTATTATTATTATTCAGCGCTTATCATGGCCATACGCGTGATTCGCAATGATCTGGTGAAATGCTATAGTAATACTATAAATCTGCGGAAGCATTTGATATCACGCATAAGGCGCCATGATTTCCGCAATGAATGAATGGCGGATGGCGCAGTGCACTGTTTTGTTTACACATACTAAAGCGTGGATGACTATATAATGATATGAACACGAATGTCATCTCCAGCTGCTCTGAGAGTCACTTCATTAGCATTTTACCGTTTCATTTGAAAAAACTATTTTATGCCTTCATCTGATTACCAGAAAAATTAAAAACATTTTATAGGGCCCTATTATTGTTTAAAAAAGGACCATACAAAAAAAAGTATAGGTTTAAAATACAGGCATGTGGCTTAATTTCTTTTTATTAATTCACCATTTGTAAACTGATGTTTACTGTTCATTTTTTAGAAATATCAATAGCATTTGTATTAAAACTATATTCACTGAATGTAATAAAAAAATCGAGAATCGAGAGCTTGCAAATCGAATCGAATCGGAACATCTGAATCAATACCCAGCCCTAGCCTGAACACTGTGCTCACATTCTCCCTCTTGTTTGCTGTCGTCGTTAACAGTTCTGTCTAATACTTAGTCGAATCCAGCTGTGAGATCTTATGAAGTGTGCATTTGTGTCCTGCACGATCACGTGTACTCTGCATGATAACGGTCGGTCCATGCGAATTGAATACGGACAAGGAAGAGAGTTCAGCTTCACTGAGACGCGCAATCGACAAACTTTAAACTCGTGATTTCAAATTATGCTGTGCTTCATGCTTTTGCCCAGTGTCATATTCATATAATTTTCACTGTGTGCTGTATGTTAAATGAGTGTTACCTTGGCTTTATTTCATTTGAAAAAATATGATTCTCAATGCACACAAACTTCCCAGAATACTGAGTGCCCTGTTGGTTAGTGTTTACTTCCTTTTTAATTATATTTTTATTAAATATTTATTTATTTGTGAAAAATACTTTGTCATTTAAAGTATAAGCATGTTTATTTTACACATTTATTTTTTAATCCATTTTCAAATTATTTCAAATTTCTTGAATATTACATAAAATTATATCGGCTTTGTATCGGCCATTGGCCACCCTGCTTTCCAAGATATCGGCATCGGCTATCAAAAAACCAATATCGGTCGACCACTAATCTGAATGACCAAAAATGACGGAGTAGCCTATTTTAAAGGGGTGGTTGATTGCGATTTCACTTTTTTAACGTTAGTTAAGTGTGTAATGTTGCTGTTTGAGCATAAACAATATCTGCAAAATTACAACACTGAAAGTTAAATGCTCGATCCTCTTCAATAATATCCTCTGCTTCTCAATCGGGCTCAAACTTATAAGCGATATTAACGACGCCGTTGTTTACAATACAACCGGAGCACATGCGCTGAGGTGAGGAGCGAGATGTTTAGACGCACACTAGATCACAACACACTGGACTAGCTAACCAATCAGAGCCCATCGCCTATTTCTGAGGGCGGGGCTTCATAAAAGCAGGACGGTTTTTTTTTTTTTTTAAACGAAGCATTAACACATGTTAGACTGCACCCCATAAACACAATCAAGCCTAGAAAAAAAACAGTGAACCACCCCTTTAAGAGTAAGTATGTGCACCGGCGCCTCCATCTGTCACGCAGTGAGCGCGCTATTGTTCAGGTTCTACACTCCACACAGACACAATAACGCACATTCCTCTAGGTTAACATTAGATCAAGCAGCCATGTAAAGTTGCCAATACTTGCATATTTCAGCTGATAAGCTATATTTGAGGTCGATGAATGATAGGCGAGCGTTTGGATGTCCTGCCTGATGTACTGTATTACCATAGACTAGCCGTTAACAATTTGTCCGTCACGAACTGCGTGACTTCGCCTGTGGATTTATTTTATAAAAAAACAATTTTTATGCGACTAATAAAATTTTGGTCGACCAAGCCTCTTCTGGTCGACTAATGATTAGTCGACTATTAGGGGGCAGCCCTAGCCATCACAGAAATAAATTACATTTTGAAATATAATAAAATAGTAATCTGATTACTTCTAATAATATTTCACAATATTACTTTTTACTGTATTTTTGGTCAAATAAATGCAGCCTCTGTGAGAATGAGAGACTTATTTAAAAAACATTTTTAAAAAGTCTTACTCCTAAACTAAATTTTCAAATGAGGGTTAAATGGAAATTGATGATATTGACATTTACTTGAGGTGAAATACAAGTAAAAGGTAAAATATATGTATATATACCCTGTGTGTGTATATATGGATTTAATGCAAAAAAAACTAATGAGAAAAAGGTCACACATGACTTCCTTCTGTTTATATCTTCAAAATTCCTGTATATTTACCTATAAATAAGTTAACATTTATACACCATATTTGTTTTCATAAAGCA